TTTTTTATACACTAACGAAAATATTTCTAAATATACAAATTATGTAAATATAGATTAATCTTGTTATCTTAACACAGAAATAGATAATTAATCTTAACGCAACATATCCGACGTCAAGAAAATCAGAATTTTTTAAAAAATCTGATTCTAATCCAACCAATTGTACGTGGACTTCGTTCGACCAAGATCTTTTTTTTTGTCATCTTGAAATTTTATTATTGAACTTGATGTAAAACCAGAGTAGGATTACAAACGCCCAAACAAGGGAAACTTAAGCCGGTGGACAAACTGAAAGTCCTCAGAAGCACTGCTGGAGGAAAAAAAAACTTCCCCAGAATCTAGGCCCTAACAAGGGAGACGAAAAGAACTAGCAATAGAAAGCAGAAATTATCAAACCACAATCGAAAGAGGACGAATTCTTAAAATAAAAGCAGAGGCAACTAGGCTTAAACCAAAGGGAAATGATAGATCCAAAGAAACAGAGAATCATCTTCTTCTAAAACACCTGCAAATGCAATTTATCAAGGATGTCCACGGCCAACCCAAAGATAACATATACCTCCTCCTATCATGTTGAGAGCCATTCTCTCGAGAACCAAGGACAACATAACCCGGCAAGCAAAACCACTCATAGAAACTCGAAAACGCTTCCGGATGCGACGACGACGACTGATGCGTCTTCAAAACGTCTAGCTAGAATCCTTCAAAAAGCGAACAGATCTAAACAGATCTCGAAAGCAGGGACAAGGAGCGAGGCAAAACTTCTCAAAAATCACCAATCTCAGGAACGAGAACGACAAAGAATCGAGACAGCTAACACCCACCGCGAACACCAAGGAGAAGAAAACTCTGCATACTATGAAGACTGCCAAAACCAAAACTCAAAACGAAGCTTCTGCTTAGAAAGAATTCGAGCCCAAAGGGAATCAAAAGCTGATCGAGAAGACAAAGGGTGCAAGGAAATGCAACGGCTGGCCAGATTGAAACGCAACCCACAACCAAACAACAGAGACGGCTTAGAAACGACGATAAGCACAAGAACGGCCAAGAAACAAAGGGCAGGAAAGAGCAAGGAAGAAGTTTTTTACTATCATCTTCTTTGAAACCACAAAAATCCCACGGAGACGACCGCTCCAACCGCTTCCACAAACCCAAAATCGATACTCGAAACAAACCAATAGACTACCCAATCGAAGGTCATCAAAACTGCACACCACACTAACCATCTACCCCGAGCTAAACGATGAAGGAAAAGGACAGGAGAGAGAGCTTACTTAACCAGGAGACAACAAGAACCCATGGCAACAAATCCGAGAAGATTCACCTAAAAGAACTGACCAAGGCATAAAATCCTTCTCGTGACACCGCTGGGAGAGGTTGAACGACACTCAAAAGACCGCCGAGCAAGCCTCGCCGTGAAGGCCGTCAACTGCGCTAAGAAAACTAACAACACCAAATCATCAACGATCCACCAGATCTAGCACCGGGAGAGACCGAAAACTCTATACAAAGAAAGGAGCAGCAGCAGAGACCCTCTCACAGTGATGGCGAGGAGCGCCGCTCACCGGAGAGGGTAATCAAAAATCTAGATTTTTGCTAGACGATGGCTAGGGCGATTTCGTCGAGAGAGTTTCTTTCTTTCTTTATTGTTTCTAGGTGACCACCATTATCCATGGGTTCTTAGCCAAATCTTAAGGTAAGATTTGTGAAGAAAAAGCTTAAATATAAACCTAAAAGCTCTTATATAAGAGTTCTTTCTTCACAAATCTTAGCTTAAGATTTGGCTAAGATTTATCTAAGAGTTCATAGATAAGGGTGCTCTAAGTTTGCGTTCGACCAAGATCTTCAAAGTAAATATAAAAAAATATATTAAAAATTAAGCCAAGAAAATAAAAACAGAAAGGAGGCAAGAAGTGTGGATGTCTCCTTCTTTCCCGCATACTGTAACAAAAAGGTTTGGGGACATTTCTTGGACATAATTATTTGTTATTCCTAAATGTATTATATGTATGTCAACATTTTCTTTACAAAAAAGATAGTTTCACATTTAGACTTACTTTCGAATCTTATGATCATGTCCTTTACTTTCCTATCAATTTCCACCTTTTTCCTATCAATTTCCATTTTTCTTACTAGCATAATGCTTTAATTTCATGTGCTTAGCTTATAGCCAAAAATCTTCCACCGAAATATTTTTTGAATTTATTCACGTGGAAACTGTGGTATATATTTGGCACACTACTATTATATTTCTGTCAAAAATCGATATAACAAAGAAATGGAATATTCACAAAGTGATGAGAACGACTAACAACAATAGGATTCTAACTCGATAGTTTATTTATTGAAATATATTTTGTCCCGGTGATAATATCATTTTGGGATCATATTTATATTTTCTCTTTACGAAAATATCCCACCTCGGACCAAAATGTCTAACCCATCCTTCTTGTGATGAATGATAAGGAAGATATTGTATAACCCCCATATTACCATCCTCACAAAACTTTAATATTTCCATATTTTCTTGATCATAAGCCTCCCAATTGTCAAAACCCGCAGATCTTAGAAACCCTACCGCATAAAATACATCTTCCTCAGGTATAGCGGCAGACATTCGATCATTCCACCTAAAAACACCGCAAAAAACAAGTTGGTAAATATATTTTGGATTCAAAAACTAAAAATGTAGATTGTAAATTCGCAATATCGAGTTTAACTTACTTGTTGCGATTCATAGGATAAACCAAGAACGGGACCGGTAGTAATGTTATTTCTTAGAATAATACCCTTGAAAACACCATCATCCAATTTGGAAATTTGAGATCCGGGTAGGAAGAGATTAAGCCATGGATGTGGCACATCCCATTGGCCTTTGG